TTTTTTTTTTTTTTTTTTTTTTTTTTTTTTTTGTTTTTTGTAGAGGTGGCACAAAGCATTGAAAGCCGAAAAGTGTGGGACTTGCCTTTCAGCTCACCGCACTAAAAACCCACCCCTGCTCCGTTTCCCTCCCACCGTGGAACTACCGTCAGGTATTACTTCGCGGAGGGGGAGCGGCCTATTGCCAATCTATGAAATTCTGCGGAGTTGTTCCGCTCGACGCAATTTAGATGAAATTGTGCTTGCCAAATTGCAAACAACGGACCAGTTATCTTCTGACTCAAGCATAGTATCCACAAGGTTATGAACCGTAAGTGGCCTACCCACCTTCCTGCTCGAGTCATCCCTTTCGATTGCAAACCTCGGACAGACGAAAAAGCAGTGTTCAGCGTCTTCAATAATATCCTTTGCACAGAAGGTGCAGAAGGGATCGTCTTCGTGCTTAAATCGGTATAAATATGATTTAAAGCACCCATGCCCTGTCAATATTTGGGTCAAATGGAAGTCCACTTCCCCATGTTCCCTACTTACCCACCTTGATATCGAGGGTATGAGGCGGTGCGTCCAACGACCGCTGGCTGGGCGGTCCACCTCGTTTGCCATTGCTGCAAGCACCTCTGTGTCACCTCTTCGCGTCTCGTTCGGTTTATAGGCCTGGGGCCTGTCACTTCCACTAGAATGTCAATGGGGCAGAGTCCTGCCACCACTGGCGCTGCTTCTTCGGACGTAGTTCGGAATGCACTGCATACTTTGATAGCGCAAAATCTGTGCAAAGACCTTGCTTCTCGTACATATGACGTCTTGCTGAACGCTTCATACCAGATTTGTGCACCATAGAGCAGCACACTGCGCACGAAGCTTGCGTATAGCTGCCTACGCTGTTGTTTCGGGCCTCCTACGTTCAGCATAACCCTTGTTAGTGCCCCTGCCACCTTTTCGGCTTTCTCGACAGCATAATCAATGTGCGTCTGGAAGGTAAGCCTCGCATCAAACATTATGCCTAGGTATTTTAGGGCCGCCTTTGACGTAATTTCTTGTTGACCAACCTTAATAGTCGCCACTTCTCTAACTTTTCTACTGCTTACTAGAACTGTCTCGGTTTTTTGGTGCGCAAGTTCCAGTCCTGTTTCGGCCAGCCATGCTTAGATCTGGACGATTGAACTATTTGCTGCGGTAATTATTTCTTCTAGATGCTTCGCTACCACCACTAGCGCTATGTCGTCAGCAAATCCGACAATTTTCACTCGCTCTGGCAAGGATAGTCGGAGTACACCATCGTACATGATATTCCAGAGTATTGGACCCAGAACCGAACCCTGTGGTACTCCAGCCGAGACTTTATGTTCTTTGACACCGTTCTCCGTATTGTACAGTAGCACTCTATTTGCTAGGTAGTTGTCTAGAATCTTGCGAAGGTATGCGGGTACCTCGAATCTGCGTAGAGCAGCGTTTATGTGTTTCCAACTTGCTGTGTTGAACACATTTTTTACATCGAGGGTGACAAGCAAGCAGTACTCCTTTGCTCCTCCCTTCCACCTTTCGCCACTGATTGCATCTTCCGCCACCTGCTTTACTAAACTGGCTGCATCTACCGTTGACCGCCCCTTTCTGAAGCCGAACTGTGTCTCTGAGAGGCCTCCCTTTTCCTCGATTGCTTCTAGCAGTCTATCGCTGATTATGCGTTCGAACAACTTGCCCGTCGTATCCAACATGCATATAGGACGATATGCTGAGGGATCTTCTGGTGGCTTCCCAGTTTTCGGCAATAGAACTAGCCGCTGGCGCTTCCATGCATCAGGAAATACTCCTTCTTTAAAGCATTCGTTAAAACTATCGACGAACACTAGGGTTCGCAGCTACAGCAAGCTTGAGGACACGATTTGGAA